TTTGCACCATTCAAATGAATGGGGAAATTCTAGCTCAGAATACTTGCAGCTTTTAAAATGTTCAGCTCTTCAAGGACATTCATGCTTCTATTCAGAACCTTTCTAAACTCCATACTTCTTCAATATGTAGCTTTATTGTGAAAGTTTTGCACCATTCAAAAGAATGGGGAAATTCTACTTCAGCATACTTTCAGCTAGCAAAACCATTCAGGTGTCAAAGTCTTCAGCATATTCAGGGCGATCTTTCAGCAATTCGCATCCACACACGCATTTTCGACAGGAAATGCAGTTTTCTAGTTATTATTCTAGTTTCTTCCGTCCGTTTTTTGGAACTTAATTTTGTCAGCATACTTTCAGCTATGAAAACTGTTCAGGTATTGATATGTTCAGCTTTTTAAGGACATTTATGCTATTATTTTTCTTGTTTCTAACCTTTATACTTTTTAAACTATTTTGTCTTTCAGCAAAATTGTGCCCTTTTAAATGAATGGGAAAATTCAACTTCAGCATACTTTCAGCTATTTCAGCTATCAAAATGTTCAGCTCTTTAAGGACATTCATGCATTCAGAATTTTAAAAACTTCATACTTTTGAAATATTTAGCTATTTTGAAAATCTTGCCCCAATCAAATCATTGGGGAAATTCTTCAGCACACCTCATCTATCAAAATGTTCAGCTCTTCAAGGATATTCATGCTTCTCTTCAGAATTTTTCTAAACTTCAGAAATTTGAAATATTTAACTTTATTTTGAAAATTTTGCCCCATTCAAATGAATGGGAAAATTCTACTTCAGCATACTTTCAGCTAGCAAAACCATTCAGGTGTCAAAATGTTCAGGGCGATCTTTCAGCACTCAGCATCCATATGCATTTTCTTCAGAAAATAAATTTCTCTAGTTATTATTCTGGGATCTTCCACCCCTTTTTGGCACTTTATAAGTCCAGCATACTTTTAGCTATACAGGCCATTGAGGTATTTATCTGTTCAACTCTTCAAGGACAACCCTGCTTGTATTTTTCTTTTTATACTTTTGAATTGATTCAGCTTTATTGTTTACAATAAAAGTCAATGGGAGCTCAAAGTGCAGATTTAAAGACAGTCTTGGAGTGCCATCTGGTGGTCCATAAAATGCAGCACAAAAACATTGCCACTACATAACTCCTCTCTCTCCCCCCCTCTCCCTTACTGCATCTTCTTGTCAGAAAACATATTGCTGGGAAAAGTCACACCTGGCTCATTAAATTAAGACAGCACTTCTATTGTACTGGGAAAGGTGGTCAACCCTTTTCAATCCCATCCCAAAGAAGATCTTAGACTAATGGCTTAGAAGCTAATCCTGCTTGGACCACTGGATGACTGAGGAGGACGAAGACCCTATGGACTCACAAGCTCATCACCAAAACACCATATATCCTAAAACAATTTCAAATAGAAAATACAAAAACATTCATCTCATGAGATTTCTTTTTATTTTAAAAGGTTATACTCACCTGTTTACTTCTTGTAACAGGAGTGTCAGGAATCGGCCGAAAAGTTTTTGGTGAACTCAATTAAATGGCCAGACGAGGATACATGAATAACCGTCCCTTTATTAAGAGCACAAACGCTAAGCAGAAAAACAAGGCAAGACACGGTGAACACACGAAACACACTTACAGACAGATATTACAGTCCATGGTCAGAGCCAGCAAACACATACAGCAAAGGCAATCCAAAGTTCGTAGTCCAAAGGGGTAGCCCGATAAATCATAACCAGTAGCACTCCGAAACAAGAGGGCAAGGCAGAACAGAATAGTCAAAGTATACGATCCGGGTCAAACACAAAATACCAAAACCGAAGAAATGCTGGAGAGTTAGAGCTGGTGTCTAGAACAATCTGGCAGTGTCTTTGTGGGAGGACACTGCCTAAATAGAGGTGAAAACAGGTGTAAACTATAAGGAGCAGGTGAAACTAATGTGAGTGATGAAGAAAGTAAAAAGACCGAAACTGTGGTGAAACAAAACAGGAAGTAGCATCAAAATAAAAGCATGACAGGAAGCAACACAGAACCGAATCATGACAAGAAGGTCCAGCTTGGTTATGTGCAGAAACTGTGAGACTCTTGATGAGAGCACAGCAGCTACCCTGACCCTCCTCCACAGTTTCTTAAATATATTTATAAATCCTGGAGGGATGAGAGAAAATATTTTGGAACTGGCCCAATCTACTTTTATGCTTGATGTTAATTATCTTGTCAAATTAGCACTTTTTATTGCCTTTTTGTGGGAATTCTATGTGGCTTACTGATTCTTATTTGCATTTATATCATATGAATTTTTTCTAGATCTTTGTTAGCTTTTAAATTTAGTTTGAATTGCAGTGAACATAGCACTTACTTTGTCTAAACATACTCCCACTCCCAACAGACAATTCTGAATTGTATATTCTTCAAAATATCCATAGTTATTTATTTTATTTTCAGTTATTTTTATACTTTAGGTGAAGTACCGATTAAAGGCACAACCTTTTGTTTGGAACCACTGTGAAATGTGGCCAATGTGAGGACCAGGGATATGAACACACCCTGACTGGCCAGTACCAAAGTCATGAAACTGACCTTATAGACCTAATGTCAACCCAACCTGAACCTTGCACCATGTCATCACTCTAACGTGTAATGATTTATGTTTTGGGGACTTGTTTTTGTCTCCATAAGGTTGTCAAGAGCCCACAGTGTGACTGTGTAAACAGATTTCCATCCCCACAGCATAAGTAATACCAGACCACACACACAAGCAGTGATAGTATCATTTTAGCCAGCAAGGACCACCACCCAAAGCTTATTATAACATAACAAAATTATTATTCCAAAAGGAATAACTGATTACACTCCTCACTGAGATGGATAGGCATTTATATTTAGGCTGATTTTATTTCATTAAATATGATTATTCATTAAATTGTTTTGTAGTTAAGTTTTCTGCAGGTAAAAAGAGAATCCGCCAATGTAATGAGCATAATGTTAAAGTACCAGTGATGTGCCAAGGAATAAAGAAAAAGAAATGTAATGAAGAAGGCAAAAAAAAAAAAACCTAGTTCAAGTTTAGTTCAAGAAGTCAGTGTTGAGAGTTGAAGGTGCTATGGTAATCCAGCCTGTTCTTCTCCTGTATTCACTCTCAGCCATTAGCTTCCATCTGCTGAAGTTCCCTGGTGGCTGCTGAGCTTGAGAGTTGGTTGGAAATGTAATTGAGTTTCTCTTTTTCCTGTAATCGACTGGGAAAAGATAACTGTCAAGGCCGGGGTTGTGGAGGAGCTTAGGGGCTTAGTGTATGTGTCCATTTTTCTTTTACATATTTCTGTGCTTGAGCCCTGCTTCTCTGTTCAGATAAACATAAATGTCCGTATTCATGCATCTTTAAATTCAAATATATTGAAATGGTCATGTATGAGGAAAAAAGAAATATAAATTCCGCTACAGGAAAGGAAGGTCATCAGAAACATTAATTCAAATGTAATACCTTTCATATATATAGGTCATGTCAAAAATTCTGCTTCCTACAATACAAAATATTTCATCAGTTTAACCTGTCGCTGTCCAAACTGAAAATCAGTTCATCCTCTGTAAACTACATTTCCTGACAAGATGTCTGTCACATACTTCCTGTTATGCCAGCATATAACCTGTGTACTGTGATGATTTGTCGGATTGCAGGTCTCCATAGCAGTTGGCCTTGCAGGGTTTGCCTGTGTGATGCTGGTGGTCCTCTTCCTTCTCATCAACAAGTATGGACGACGCTCCAAGTTTGGCATGAAAGGTAGGAAACAAGTATATATTTCAATTGGTTTGCTCTGTCTTTTTGAGGATTTGTGATGCCTCCAGTCAGGCAGACTGGGATTTTGGACTTACAGATTAATTAAAAGATGTAAAGGCCGAAGGATGAAAATCATGAAGGCAGTGGCAAGTGAGTATAGACAAAAAGAAGTGTGCAGGAAAGAAAAGATGTTAGTATGGACAGTGATGGACAGGTGATAAAATTGATGTTACTTGTGGTGATGTGAACATGATCTTAACAAGATAACTTGATCTTAACAAGGTGGGGAATCAATATTACTGGTAGGATGAATGGCAGATAGATGGAGATCTGCTTGGCCTT